TTGCATATATAAATATGTTTGAACACACTTTATCTGTGATGATTGAGACAGTTGGATCTTTGAGATGAATGACAGTATTGTTGTATTGTATTATTTCTGTGTTTACTGTAAGTTGATTTGCAATTCTTAAAATTTCATTGCAGGTTCTGCCTCTGAGGGTCAAGCTTTGTCTTCGACAGGCGATGGCAGTTTATCATTCTTTTCAAGTTCAAATGCTTCGACATCATTAGGGGGAAAGGCCTCTCTTCAGCCCAAAAGAACCCCGGTCACCAATGAGGAGATTGAGGCAGTTTTGGTATGTATAATCTCCTTGTCAGTTCTAGGTCTTTCACATTTTTTGATTACTCTTGTTAAGAGTCTCGTTAACATTTGATGAGATATGGCCTGAAAATGAGTTCCTAAGAGACGTTTATCACTCTACAAACCGGTTTTGTAAGGGTTGAATACGGCCCAACCCAAATTCTAAGATACTATCAAAACCTATTTGAAATCCATTGGACCACATGCTATCAGATCACTCTATAAGATGAGACTTAAAAATGAGTTTATAAGTAGGGAAAATCTACCACTCTTGTATTTACTGTCTTTTTTACTCAATTAATTGATCACTGGTATCTTTTGTAGTAACTGAGATGGGAAATCAATCCATATTGCATCATGAAAATTGATTTTGGTTGTGTTTAATGTCTCTTCTTAATTAATACCTATTACTTATTGAAACTTCTGGACTTTTTGCAGTTGGGCGGCTGCTTCTAATCGATTGTTCTGAAACAAACTGTATGAACATTTTTTCTGTGGCTCTGATGAATCGAAGTTCACTTACAACGGTTCCTTTTTCTTTTTGTATCTTGAGTGTTATGTTTTGAAAGAGTTTATTGATTGAGTGTATCAATAATGCAATTCAATTAGGATTGAAATTGAAAAATATACTGTCATGTGTTATTACTTCCCTTACTAACCAATTTCTTTGACAGAAGGTGCTGTCTCTTGTTTTTATCTCTATTCTCCAGTAGCAGTATTACCAAGCGTGAAAGAAAAGTCACGTGCAGGGCCGGCCCAAGGGTAGGGTCTGCCCTAAAAAAAAAAATCTTTTTTATGAAGAAATTTTAGGCCTAAAAAAACCAAATATAGTAGCATTAGCAGTATTTATTGAATATAATAGTATGATTGTCAAATTTATATTTTGCTCAGCTGGTAAAATTGAGATAAAATTTTGTTAAAAATTGTGGTATTTGTAGTAGTAGTTGTAGTCATAAGAGGAAAAAGGGCTTTTATGGGTGTCTTCATGGAAAGTTAATATTAAACATTGGAAAGAGTTTCTCCTGCTAAAGTTCACGACTAGTGGAAATGTTCATGATGTCAGTTGAGTGCACAACATGAACAGTCATCTTGTAATACTTTTGGTAATAAAATCATTGATGTCGAACAAGAGTCATTTTTTAAAATAAAGGCTGATATATTAAAAATAAAAGATAATACAAAAAGCGGAACTAAGTTAATCCCATAAAAAAGAAAACTTAAAGAATGGTAATGTCCAACCAATTCTTTACAAAATCATTTTTAATCTCAATAGTGATGGAATCAAAAAATATGGCGGAGCTTGTATTGAGAGTTATATTTGCTAAAAAAATCAACACAAGAGTTCTCTTCCCTGTGAGTGATCATGATGTTAATTTTGTTTAATGGATCCAAGCATGAAAGCCAATTGTTTCTCAACCTCCAAGGTATCAAAAGAGGGTTGTAGAAAGCTCTGACAACCATGATACAATCCAAAGCTTGGGCCAACCATGATTTTTGGCTATTTCATTGGATTTCAAAACAACGGAGATTTCAGAATACACAGAGATTTTTTGCAAAAGCTAACAAAAAATTTTCTTTGTTATTCCTAAAGATGCCACCACAACCCGCATAACTTGTACAAGAAGTAAATATCCCATCATAATCATTTGAACCATCCTTGATTAGAAGGAGTCCAAGATATGCTCTAGGAGGATGAATTCTAACATCAATAGCTTTTATAGTAGAAAAATCATACATTAAGATCAAAGAAACATTCATATTGTTGTTTCTAGTCAATTTTTAATTGAGCCATAATCCAATTCATAGAGTAATTGTAGTTAGGCTTCTGATTTTTGTGCTTATGATTGTCTCTAGAGGACCAAATTCGATTGAGTAAAAAAATGACTACTACCTTTAATACTAGATATGATTGCTTGGACCTGCCACATTTTCAAAAATGGAACCAGTCTTTTAAGGATCCGAGTGCGATTGAATTCCAGACATTCACTTAAGCTAACTCCAAAGAACCTTGATAAAATCTACATTGAAAAAATAAGTGAGTTGTGCTCTTTACTACAGAGTTACAAAGGAAGCATTTTGAGGCCATTGAGATGCCTCTAACCATAACCAACCATAACTATTGTATCAGTAGGGATTTTTTCATGCATTAGTCTCCATATCAGAATTGACTTGTTTGGAGGGATATCATTGCTCCAAATATATTCAACCCAAACAGGTTACGGGAGATATCTAGCCTTGAAAGTGTGTGCATCATTTAGAGTGAGCACACCAGATTCATTTTGGTTCAAAATGAGGAGGTATATATGATTGTTATTGGAAGCAGGAACATGAATGATTTTGTTAGACATAAAAGGAAACCACTCATTTCAAGATTGTGGAAAATCCCAATTATCCACTTTGATAAGATCAGAGATAGTGATGTTCACTTTAATACCTTTTAGATGAAGGAACTCTGATGAAGTTGTTACGAGTCCCACATTGGATAATGTATAGTCTGAACATGTGTTTATAACTGAGAACAATCCTCATCCTACAAGCTGATTTTGTAGGGTAAGTTAGGTCCGATCACATTTCTTATCATGGTATCAGAGTCTTTGATTTAAAGATCGGGTCACCTACCATTTACTTACACGCTCTAGATGTCCAGTTCTAGGCGTGATGTAGAGTAATAATATCATTGGCTTTTAGGATAATGTTCTTGAGGAGGATAGGCCAGGCCGCCATGATATTCATCATATCCTACCCTAACTTGATATTAGTAGCATCATTTAGTCTATATAATGATATTAAACCAAGACCGCCACTATTGTAAGGTTGGCAAGTTTTCTTCCAAGCCACCATGAACATTTTCCTCTTGTGAATATCACCTGACTAAATAAAGTTTCCACAAGCCTTTTCAATTCTTCTAAGCAGATCCACAGTCCAAGAGTATCTGTTTATAGTATAAGAAATCATTCTTTGAATAGTAAATTTGACCAAAGTAAGTCTACCTGCTATAGAGAGTAATGAGCCGCTCCAAGTTGACAATTTGGAAAAGATTTTGCTTGTGATAGGAAGAAAGTGTATGGAATCAAATGTAGTCATGAACATAGATTACCATTATGACAAACCTGTACATGACCTTCAGCAGAATTTTCCAACTAATGGTATCAAATGTTTTGGCAATGTCCACCTTAAGAGCCAGATTACCATCTTTGTTTTTGTTGCGCAACACATTAATTTCCTTTGAAGCTAAGCAAGTGCAGTCTATAATGTTCCTGGCATGAATAAAACATCTTTACTCCTTAGAAATCAGGATATGCATGACGGAAGTAAGCCTATCAACCAATATTTTTTAGATTATCTTATATTTGAAGTTGGAAAGGGCTATTGGTTTAAACATATATATGGTATGAGCATATTTGGTCTTAGGGATCAGGATAATTGTACTAACATTAAAGTTGAGGAGGATATATCCTGTCTTGAAAAATTGGGTGACTGCATCACAAACAATCTTCTCAATGATGTTCTAGAATGTGTGATGGAAGACTCCACTAAGCCCGTCTGAGCCTGGAGCACTGGATTTGTTGAGGCTATACACTACATTAAAATCTCATCTTTAGTAGGAAGAATGGTTAAGATTCTATTCATGTTTGAGTCCAACAAGGTAGGTATAACCTCATCAACTATGGAAGTAGTTTGATCATTGCCTGCAAAACAAAGAAGATTAGTGAAGTAATTGATAGCCATATAAGCCATATCTCTAGGATCCAAAAGACTAATGTATCCATCTTTGAGGATTGATATTGTGGAAAAAGGTTGCATCCTATCCCTAGAAATATGCTTGTTCATATTAACCTTTTCAGATCAATATACCTCTTATTTTGTTTAAGCTTTCTCAAGCTCAATCTCAGATTAAAATAAAAAATATATTTTTGAATTAATTAAAGGTTGTTTTTACTATTTAACACGTTGGAAATTTATTTTGTTTTAGAAAATAATACAAATCCTATTTATTAACAAAAAAAGAATAAACTACTTTTATATTGTTAATTTATTTTAAATCATTTGTTTGCATTTGGCCTTAGTTGTTCTATATCGGAGTCAACAAAGGAATGTAGGTTGCGGCGTTGTTGTGGGAGCAATGAATTGAAGGATAAAATAGTCTTTCCCCGATAACTGCAAAAGTAAACAGAAACAAAATCGGTGATATACCGAACACACCCGCGTCTTTGGAATACAATACAACCTTTACCTTCTACTTCTTCTCCACCTAGAGTATGTATGATCCTTTCTTCATTCTCTTTTTTCTTTAATTTTCACGCTTCTTTTCTAATAATCATGAGTTGGAAATTTTTGTAACTTGCAAGCTCTGCCTAATATTGTGTACTACATGCTCAATTTAATTCATTCATACCTACTTTTGTTCTTATTATTAGTCATGGTTATGATTTTAATACTTTCGCAGCTAAATTCTGATTTTATCTTCTGATTGTTGCTTTTTAATCCTTTTTAATTTTGCTTGATCTAGTTTAATAATTGATATTACTTATGATTTTGAATTGTTGCCGTTTTTAAATAACATGGATTTTAGGGTTTCGATTTTGTATCCGTGCTTCATAGGAATTGTTACTGTTTCAGGATAAACCAGCCTCCACAGTTATCATTAGTTTCACCATCAAGTATAGGGTCTTCTTTTCTCTCCAAAGAAGTTCAATGTCATGGATGATAGACCTGCAAAATTAAAAATCATTCCAGATCACTTTCAAATTCCAACGTCGAGTATAGAATCTCCCGAGAGTGGAAAATCGTCTACTACTGAAGAACCTGGAATTGATCAATCTGTAAGGTACTGTTTGCTGGTTAAAAAAGGAATAGAAAAAAAAGCAATAATAAAAATGTTATTTCGAGACTTTAAGCTTTTATTTGAAGTAAGTTACTCCATTTAGCTTAGTTTAGGCCCTCGCTCCGGCTGTGGACTCCAAGAAAATTTAGGACAACTTTCATGTTGAACTTGTTTACTCTACGAAGACTGTCATGGGGGTCCGATACTGGAGGTCAGGAAAAGGTTTGATTCAGTAAACTTTTGCAGTTTGGATCATTTTTCATTGGCAAAGGTTTTGTTATATCGTTACCTATACAAACTTCTGTTCTGTAGGTTGAGCTTACAGCTGCAGAAGTAGAATCACTTCGATCGGAGCTTGCTGATTTAGAGGAAAGGGAAGCTCACTTGAAAGCTCAGTGAGTGGTCCACAATTTTGAACTCTGTAGGGATTTGTAGTCATAAATGCAATATAAGTGTCACACATGTGCCCGTTTGTGTAATAACTAATATGACTAAAATGAGTTTCAATTTTCAATTTTTATTCGTTATTCTCCACTTCAGTCTGTACTATCGATTCTTCCCGATGTGTTAGACTTTTTTTGGGTTAAAACAATTATTTTTACACAGGTTGCAACATATTGATGAAGTTCTGCGGTCAGCTCGTCTATCAGGCTATTTACACATTAGAACTGTACTAACTGTCAAGCCCTGCATTAATTTATTTTTCATTGGTTGGTGCTTAATTATCATTTTACCGAACAAGTTGGCATTTTTGTGCTTTTTGTCTTTCTCTGTAGAGATGGTCAGCACTTCCGGGAGAACCTGCACCTATAGATGATACTGAAGTAGATGATCGGCTTCCACGCTTTGTCGTTCTACACGGAGCATGTATATTCTTATATTTGTTGTGTACAGGTAAGGTCGTTAGCTGTGTTCCTTCACCCCCTCGATTTTTTTTCTTCTCATACTAGTCTTAGTTTTCATTTTTACATTAATACTTTGTTGGTTAATGAGTAGTTTAGCGCAGATATAGGAAAATGCTGATCAGTATTGCTAAGTTGGGAATTTTAATATGGACGTCGATGCCAATGTCGGTGTCATGTCTAGTGTTCGTGTCTATGTCAGTGTTTCATAGATATTTTATCACGAAAATGATAGTAGTACTAGTACTATTCATTTTTGTAGCTTAATATTTTAGGGCCATTTTGTGTGTTTTAACTAAAAATATAACATAGGGTGACAAGTTGAGTCACTCAACCCAAAATTGTTATTGTTTGTTCGACAAATTTAATTTAGGCTAGGCCACGTCTATTAGTTCGAAAATCGCAAATGAATTCTTACTTTACTTTTTATAATCAGTTATTACACACCATCCTTTCATTCCTATCCATAATACTGAACAAAACATAAGAATGAACACTTTATTCCCATTCCATCAAACCAAACACGACCTTGTTTTTCATAATGCAGTTATATTTATTAGGCTGACCATTTTTTTCTTGTAGATAAATTGCATGTGTGTTTTTTTTTTCATTGTGGGCTAATGAGAAATGGAAGTCTTGTAAGCCTCTTAATCACCACTTTTTTTTTTTCAATTTTTTGAAACATATACAATTATGAAGCATTCTTTTTCTCTATTGGCTGATATATTTTCCAAAAAATCACTTTAAATTGTGATTGACTTTCTTTCTCTCAAATCAAGAGCTCATAGTGAAACATTATTAAGGATGTCTAAGTTTGTTTGAACTCCAAACTATTCAACTCAAATTCAACACTCTAATAAATTTAAGCTGTAAGAATTAGGCTCGAGAATTCATTGTATCTATGTCTTTAACTTGCCTATTTATGTTGAAAGCTGCCAAGCAAAATTTAATTAGAAGGGTAGGAGCAGCCTGGAATATAATCTCGACGGCTTGGTCAAAGAGGCCATCATACTGTCAAAAGAACTTCATACTGTCTCAGCCAAAGTTTCATTTTTATTAATATCTTTGAAAAAAATTGCAAATTGTTAGCTCAATCAAATGTATTTTCATCTCAAGTTTTCAGACTATTTACAAAAGATCAATACTTGCTTACTGATAAAGTGTAAAAAATGCAGATATAAGTCCTCAGGACTCGACCCTTCTATCTGATATTCTTGAAGTGGGGAGATTGCCAAGTTTTAAGCACGAAAATGATGATATTCAACATGCCTTTTATATTTTAACTCGTCATGGATATCGCTATGAGTGCTCAAGCAATTCTAAGATTCAGGTGTGTAATAATTTGATTCTTGATAGTTATTATTATTTTTATCGTTTTAATTTTGAAAACTTTTAAATATAATGTCTTCCCTCACACTTTCAGGTGGACTCTTGGTTAACAGCTTTAGAAAGTTACAGCAAATTAGAATCTGATAGATCAGTTCCTAATGGGTAGATTTGAGATGTAACATAACTGACAGTTTAAGTGGCATGAAACCTATACCACTTTGTAAATAAATGCTTTATTTGTCAATTTTGACTCTTATCTAAGTCTGTTCATGCTTTGCAATATGTTTGAACAATCCTTATTTAAATTGGAGTTGGTATATCTAAGTATGAAGCATAAAAACTGAGAGATAATATGGAAATGCCTAAACAATAAACAGTAAGTGTTGTTGACATTTATTAAGCTATGAGCATGCTAAATATGCTTGAAGGATACATTGTTTGTAGCACTTGAAAAATTCTGTAATAGTAAAAACTATGCAAAAAGAATGGTGATCTGGAATGATATTTATCTTCAAGTGACTGTTATAATGGTGAATATGATGAACTCTACAATGACCGTCCTTCATACTTGTATTTGGTGGTTCATACTTGTATTTGGTGGTGTTGAATGTCTCTGCAAAGATTTCGGTTGTGATATAATACTAGTTCAAACCTAAAGTTAATTAGAATTTAGGATCTGTTATTTAGTATACGAGTTAGTTGTATATAAATAGACATATTTTGTAATTCAGTTTGTACAATTATAATTCAATAATATCAATCTTTATTTTCATTCTCCCTCTTTTTCTCTCCTCACAAAAAAGTGTTTCACGCACTAACAAATTGGTATCTAGAGTTCCAGTTAGACTCTTGTGTTTTTAAGAATCACACGTTGATGATCGTGTTTTTGGGTTTGTGGGTTGTTAATTAATCGATGTAAAGATGAATGGTATTAATGGCATTCTGAATTCTCTTCTAATTTTTTACGGTAAAATTGAATCCGATTGGATTTGATGGAGCAAACAGATGAAGTCCTTGTTCGACTTTCATGAAATCCTAAAAGTAGTTACTAATGACGTCCCTGGGTTTGCTGAGAATGCAACAGATGCTCAGAGAGTTGCGAACAAGGAGACGTAGAAGAAAGACTGCAACGTCGCATATTACATTTAATTGGCGGCAAATTCAATGAATTTTGACAAGATCTCTCATGTTGAATCGGCGAAGGAGGCATGAGATATTCTTGTCAAGTACTATGAAGGAGGTGAAAGAGTCAAAGTCGTCAAACTACAAATTTTGTAGTATGAATTGTTACATATGAGAGAAGATGAAAAGATTGCAGGGTACGTGTCGAAGGTGCAGAATCTCGTCCATCTCATGAACGGTTGTTGTGAAACTCTAATTGATAAGATGATAGTTAAGAAGGTAATGTGTACGTTGACCTCTCACTTTGATCACATTATCGTAACTATTCAAGAATCCAACAATCTTAAAACCCTAAAACTGAAAGATTTAGTTGGTTCGTTTGAGGCGCATGAGATTAGGATTTTTGAAAGGAAAGAGGTTCAAAATTTGATACATGCACTATAGGCTCAGGCATGGAAGAAGCATGGTGGTTCCAACAAATTCAAAGGCAAAGAAGACAAGACTTAGAGCAAAAAGTCTTTGTTGAACCCTAAAAAGCATAAGATCGATGATAGGGCTTCAATCCTCGAAAAGAAGAGAAGGAAACTCCTATAAAAAAGACAATGAGAAAAAATATATGTAGTCTGTGAAAAAAGGGGTCACTTGGACAAGAATTGTTGATACAATAAAGACAAGTGAGCGACAAACGGCAAAGAGGAATGAGCGAACCTTGCACGCCAAGATTCAGATGATTATGAAGATATGGTGGTTATGGCTGCAGTTATAGATGACCATGTCGACTCCAAGATCTAGTTCCTCGACTTGAGTTGTTCGAATCACATGACTGATTGAAAAGTATGGTTAGCATATTTTGACTCGTCGAAGAAGAGAAAGGCCAAATTTGCTGATAATAACTCATTGCAAGCAGAAGGTACTGACGACATAGTTATTCAAAGGAGAAATGAAGGAAAAACCATGATCAAAGATGTACTCTATGTACCTAGAATGAAGTGTAATTTGCTAAGTGTTAGATAACTGGTCGAAAAATGTTTCTCAGTGATTAAAAGATGAAGCCTTGGAACTGTTCGACACTCAAAATAATTTGGTCTTGAAATCTCCTTTGTCAAAGAATAGGACATTCAAGACCATGATCAATTCGACTGAAGTACAATGTCTAAAAACTATTGTAGACCACAAACATAGTTCACTGTGGCATTTGAGGTTTGGAAATTTGAACTTTCGATCATTCAATGAACTGATTACTCAAGATATGGTAATTGGTATACCAAGTTTTGAGATGCCCGATAAACTATGTGAAGGTTGCTTAGTCGGAAAGCAATTCAGAAAGTCTTTCCTTTCGACTATACCAATGAGATCCTCTTGCATACTAGAAGTAGTACATTTAGATGTATATGGCCCGTTGGAGGATCATACCATTGGTAAAAACAAGTATTTTGTCTCATTTGTCGATGAGTAAAGTCGAAAGTTTTGGATTTATGTGATCAAGCGAAATGACAAAGTATTTGCAATCTTTGAGAGATTCAAAATACTTGTCGAAAACCAGAGTGAAAAGAAGATCAAGGTTTTGCGAACAAATGGATGTGGTGAATATACATCAAAGATGTTTGAAAATTTTTGTGCAGAACATGATATTGATCATGAGGTAATTGCTCCTTACACACCTTAACATAATGGAATAACAGAAAGAAGAAACAAGACCATATTGGACATGGTGAGATGCATGTTGAAGTAGAAGAATTTGCCAAAATCCTTATGGGATTAAGCTATTTTCACTGCTATTTATATTCTGAACAAATGTCCTACCAAGAAACTGAAGAACAAGGTTCCTGAAGAAGTGTGGAGTGGAAAACGATCGTCGTTGAATCATCTGAAGGTGTCTGACTTTATTTGTTACAAGCATGTTTCTGATGCGAGAAAAAGGAAACTTGATGAGAACAGTGAACCTGCGATTATGGTAGGATATCACAAAACTAGAGCATATAGGCTATTCAATCCAATCAATGAGAAGATCGTGATGAGTCGAGATGTTGTGATTGATGAGAACTCTGTCTAGGATTGGAATTCAGGTGATGCAACTAATAAGCCATTAATGAGTTATGAAGTTGATGAAGAAAGTAGTGAGCACAAAGAACTTCCAATTAATGAAACTCCAACAACAATCAAAGTCGAAGATGATAATAGAGTCGAAGTCAAAGCGGACAATCAAAAGGGTGTGTTTAGCATAAGACAAAGACTTCAAAGAACTAGAGTACTCCTAGAAAGGCTTCAAGATTATGAAGTGGTATGTGATGATGAAGTCACACTAGATGGAGATTTGATTTTTTTCGCTTTACTTGTAGGTGCTGAACCTATCAACTATAGCGACAATTTCAAAGATAAACAATGGAAGGAAGTTATGGTCTAAGAGTTACAAGTGATCGAAAGAAACAATACATGGAAGCTAGTCAAATTTCTAGCACACACAAAGCTATTGAAGCAAAATGGGTTTTTAAACGGAAGAACAATGCTAATGGATTGATAGCAAGACATAAGGCAAAATCAGTAGCTCGAGAATTTATTCAGATAGCAGGACTCAACTACTCTGAAGTATATGCACCTGTTACAAGATTAGATACAATTAGATTGGTTGTAGCCTTGGCATGCAAGCAAGACTGGTCGACATTTCACTTAGATGTGAAACCAACATTTTTGAATGGTCACTTAGAAGGAGAAGTCTATGTCACACAACCTCCTGGGTTTGTGATACAAGAGGAAGTAAGAAAAGTGTATAAGTTGCACAAAGCGCTCTATGGCCTCAAGCAGACACCTAGGACATGGAACAAGAAGATCGACTCATACTTATTTGAATTGGGATTCATCAAATATAAATTTGAGTATGGTATCTATGTTCAGGTTGTCGCACAAGATATAACAATCATCTGCTTATATGTCGATGACTTGTTGGTAAATGGAAATAGCTTAAAGAACTTGTCGAAATTCAAAGAGTTGATGATGAGGGAATTTGAAATGTCGGATCTGGGAAACTTGTCTTATTTCCTAGGCATGTAATTTCAAATGTCGAAGCAATGTATGATGCTACAGTAAAGAAATTATGCTAAAGAGATACTCAAGAGATTCATGATGGATAATTCGACTCCTACATTTGTGCCTGTCGAACTAAATTTGAAGTTGGAGAAGAATCATAGAGAGGAAGACAAAGTCGATGCAACTTTTTTCAAACAAATTTTCAGATCTTTTAGATATGTGAGAAAAATTTGACCTGATATATGTTTCTCAGTCGGATTAGTGAGCAGATACATGAGTGAACCAAAGGTGTCACACATGTAGGTTGCAAGAAGATTCTTGAGATACTTAAAATGATCCATTATGTAATTATATTTTGATGAGACCCTGAAAGGAAAGAAGTTATGGTTACTTTCTATTTAGTTGTTGATTTGTGTGGAGATAAGGAAGATCGAAGAAGTACAACTGGTTATTTCTTTTAAATATTTGGTTCCCCAATCTCATGGTGCTCAAGAAAGCAACATGTGATGGCATTGTCATCATGTGAGGCTGAATATATAGCAGGATTTTATATCGTGGTCAAGCAATTTGGATCAGATATGTGCTGGAAGATATTGAGTCGAAGTGAAGAAACCTTTGTTGCTGCATATCGACAACAAGTCAACCATAAATCTTACGAAGAATCTAGTTTTACTTGGAAGGAGTAAGCACATTAAAGCTATATTTCACTTCTTAACGGAGAAGGTAAATCAAGGTGAACTTGAAGAAAGACATTGCTCAAGTGAAACACAGTTGGCCAACATTTTCACCAAAGAATTGAAGATCGACAGATTTCTGAATTTGAGAAAGAAATTATGAATAATTAAGATCGACTATCATTAGCGTATGCTAGACAACTTGGATTATAGTGGGGTATGTTGTGATATAATCTAAGTTGTGTAACCCAAGCTCAAAATTAATTAGGGTTTAAGATTTATTACTTAGTATACAAGTTAGTTGTATATAAACAGACATATTTTGTAATTCAATTTGTACAATTAT